ATCTCTTTTCCCATCCGTTGGCCAAGACACCCACCACTTGTCCTTGTAGCACCTGAAACTCACCTGGTCGCAGGGAGCTGGAGACTATGCCATGTCAAACACACTGTGGCCACAACGAATCAACAAATGATACCCTGAGATCACAAAAAAGCCTTGAAATTATGCAGCGCTGAAAAAACCTCAAAATACCTGTGGTGTTTAGAAACTCAGTTTCTTCCCATCAAAAATAGTTTGATGTATCTTGATGTTTTGGGGGCCCATCGCACCTTGCTGGTGTTGGTCGTAGGGTCTAAGATCATGATCTCGTCCTCTGTATCGTTGGTGGCTGAAAAATATGAACTCATCGCTTCTGGCTTGTTCCTCAGTGCTGGATTTCACATAGCTTTTCCGTCCAGGAAGGACCCCAGGAAAGATGGCTAACCTAGCACGCTTATTGGAGCAAACTTGGGACCAACTGAGTTCCAACACAAAGATAACCCACTCTGTTTCTAAAGATGTCGTCTGAACGTGGGTCACTTCCCTCATTTGTAGCCGCATGAAGAAAGATAACGAAAGGTTGGGGGGTTCAGAATGATGGGGAAAAACGTATGACTCATATTAGATGTTGATGATCAAATCCAAAAACTTGTTCTGTCCAGTTCCATGTTCCGCCAAATCTCCACGTAAAAATCCAGTCTTCGTCAGCTTAACTTCAAATTTTACAAGAAACACCTTGATTGATGAAATTTCCCAGTTTTTTTTCATAACAAAAAAAATTAGGAGTTCCTTTACGGGTTCAATTAGCTGAGGGCGCAACGAGCATCACCATACATAGATGGCTTGATAGTCACCACATGCATTCCATCGGTAGACAGGATACCAGAACTTCGGGCTGTTAGTCACCAGGATCAGACGGCATTCCGCTGCAATTTTCTGGCAGTTTCAATGCATAGCGTAATATCATCCAAACATAGATCCCTATAATCCCTTCCTCACACCGATAGCCTCCATATGTGAACAGAGCCAATACCAACCAGGGTTGAGATTGACTGAGGGAAGAGATTACTTGAAACCACCAACCAGTCGGTATGGGTGTTTTTTGTCGTTCTTGTTCGTCATGTCTCCCTCCACCTGAAATCCACCTTGGTCGCAAAACTCAGCTTTGATACCCCACAAAGAAGAACAAGATTGGAAAAAGTAATTTTGAACTATTCTTCTATCAAAGAAATTTGAGATGGTGTACCAAAACATAAGCCATTCGTGAAGGGTAGGCTGCCTATTTGGTTCATATGTATATGAGCTATTGCTACAAAACTCACCCACCAGGGTGATTTCTGCGCCCACCTAAATAGGTGTTTAAACAAAAACAAAAAAATGAAAAATAAAAAACACAGCACAAAGCACATTTAGCACATTTGCAAATTGAATTTCATGTGATTTTGGGCGCCTTTGATTTGGGGTCTCTTTAAGTCTCCCGAGTATTTCCATTGTTTCCCCATGTTACGTTGAAACCATTGTCCGTCCAGTTTCAATACCGCTTACCGATTACCCTCCGGCAAATTGCCAAAATGATACGGAATGCATGGTTGCTTCTGGGTTCGGAAAAGTATCTTGAAATGGCGGGTTTCCATATCTATCTGAAATTACTGGAGGTATTATCATTTCGCCTATTGGTTGTGCCATTGGGGTCACCGCTTCATCGATAAACAAACTACCACCTATCTGGATTCTTGGGTTCAATCTCAAGGTGCGGTGGTCATATTATGACATGATGCCCCAGTTATACGCGTTTATCACCCATCCAAACCGTAAATATATGAATGATAGATCCACCTGTTCAAGCGTAGATAGCCTAGTTGTCTCAACTTACCTAGGTAAGCCCCCATTTTGGTGGTTTAAATCACCATTTCTATTGTTTGACCGGTGCTGGTGGTACCAACTGAAGCTTCAACTCGACGAGAGGCAACAAGCTAATACTGCAGAGTTCCAGGCGATCCAAGTCCACCTGGTTGACAGGTGGAAATGGCTTGACTCAGCACCCAGCAAATCGAATTTTGGTGAAACCCCGCTAAAGCCACCATTTCCCCAAACCAAATAGAAACAGATTTAAACCCTATGCCTATGGATTGAAACCTTTTCTGCATCTCTTTCGGGGTACTTGTTGATGGATTTTGTTTCCCACTGGGCTAGAATCCACATTGGATACAGGCAACCCCTAGAAAAGTTGGAAACCTAGGGAGAAGACATCATCTTAGATATCACATCCTAGTTTTAAACATTTTTAAACGTTATCAACAAGGGGATCCCAACATCAAAATTCAATAAAAGTCCTAGGGTTTCACAGCCAAGCAGCCTGAGAGACCAGGGGAAGGTAAGGTTCCAGATCAAACCAGGACTTGTTGTAGAAACGGAAGTACCTCAGCCGAGGCAGGACGCGCAAAAAGCAGCGCCTGCCAGAGAAAACGAGCAGGACAAGTCATGGGGAAAAAAAGGATCCAGTGCCAATCAGGAAAATCATCCTGACTTCTTTTTGGGGTGGAAAAATAGACTCATTAGACAGAACTTTTGGGCTAAAAAAATATGTTTTTTTTGAAATGACCTTAAGAATTGGGGCCCAAAACCACTCACACTCATATCATGTGAGATGCATGTTGGGAAAGCGACGGTCTTTGACCGAGCCACTTCGATCGATTGACGGTAAAGATTCCAAAAAAACTAGACATGGCCAGGATCTTATGCTATTGTTGAAGGTCATACGCAATTTATATTCCTTCCCTGTTCGATGATTCATCTAGGAATCTTGGCAGATAGATTAAGATGATGACATCTTGCAACCATCTCGAATTCTCTTCTTTGGCAATACCTTTGCAGGTTGTCCAAAGCTGTTGGTTAGTCATCAAAGCAAATTTAGCTCGCAAACTTCCGAGTTACGGACGAATGTCCATGGTCAGTCCTGTCAGCATGTCAGCTACAGAGGTCGCAATATCAGTTCGCAGGTGGGAACAGTATAGTATAGGACTGTAGAACAGTAGAGGATCGTAACAGTTCAGAAGCATGTAAATGCACCGGTGAAAACACTGTCGGGGCCGAAACCCTGTGCTTTTACGGTTGTGGTGGCTCCCGCAATCGCGATCTGCCGCGGGTCTCTGTTTCCGCAGCTTGGCGCCACGATCTGCGAAAGTTGCCGAGACAAAGTGCACGTTTCGTTCGTTGAACGTTTCCTCTCAAAACGCTGCCAACTGAACTGATCACAATTCCTTTAAGCCAGTTCCTTCCTATAGTAAGTTAAAAATGTTCAAAACTTCCGCCCCGGCGCGGGCGGGGCACTATCTGGTACCCCATTATATAATCCTTGTTTTTTGGTGGCCAAATTTCTCACGTTAAACCACATTAAGCAGCCATGTTCTATGTTTAAACCTCCAAGTATCCCCAAAAACTATCATAAATCCAATAAATGAAACTTGCCCTTCCACTATTTTTATCTATTTTTGGTGTTTAAATGCTCATTCATCCCATAAACTACCTTTGGTAATACCCTCTGGTAATCAAACATGGCAATGTAGTTGATTTTCCCAGCTATAAACCTCCATTTATAGTCATTATAGGTGACTCCCATCTAGCCATGTTTGATTGCTAGGGGTAAATCAGATTAAATATCCCATTAAGTATCAGTTTCTATCATTGATTCACCATAGATCACCACAATTTTCCTATTTTATTAATCCCATTAAATCACTGGTTGGTGGTCTCAACCCCTCTGAAAAATATGAGTTCGTCAGCTGGGATGATGACATTCCCAATATATGGAAAGTCATAAAAGCCATGTTCCAAACCACCAACCAGCTCACAATTAATATTCCCATTGATGTTGGTTTATAGCCTATGAAAACCACGATAAAAACCATCACTATCAATCACTATTAACCAGTGTTTGTTGGTTTATAAACCATTATAATCCCCATTAATTATAGTTATATCTACCATATAAACGATAGTTAATCAATGGTTCCAGTCACCACCAACCAGTCATTATTACTATATAAATCACCATTTTCCCATGGTTTTCCCATGGTTTTCCATCATAAAACCGCCAGGCAGCTCCAGCGCCAGGCCATGATCCAGGCCGCGGCGGTGCGAGGCGCCCGAAATGTATAAACCGTCCTGGCCCACCTGGGCGGAAGATGATGGGAAGATGTTGTTTTCGGTGAATCAATGATAATATGGAGATTAAACAGTGATAATATGGTGAATCAATGATAATATTGAGAATCGATGATAATATTGAGAATCGACGATAATTTGGAGATGAATCAATGACAATACGGAGATTAATCAACAAGAGTATGGAGATCAATGAAAGATTTTAATTAGGTACCGATGTGGATTTCATTTTGATTTATCGGGAGTGCCTGGTGAATTGTTGTAGTTTCCTACAAAGGGGGATCCCCAAGTTACCGTGGGTTTCAATACTAAAATGGTATAATGACTTGGATGATTTGGAGTACCACCAGTTTAGGAAATCTCCATTTATTGTTGATTTCATGGAATACAATGGAGCGTAACCAACCATGTTTTGGCGATATCATGGAAAATTCACCAACCATAATGGGGATATAATGTGATATATATATATGTATGTATATATTATATTATATTTGCACTAGGATCTAATTGGATATAACTGATATAACTTATATAACAATCAAATAGGAATTTCATGATGGTTTCATGGACTAGAATGAGATTCATGGGGAGAACTCACTAGAAAATTGCAGATTATTTGGCCAGTTTGCTGGGATAGATACGGACACAATGGGGATTGCATGGAAAAATTGG